TGGTTTTGGGTCTCTTCTGGTCTTGGTGTTACATGGATGTTCACCCAAAAAAGTGGGTTTTATGGCAGCGTGGTGGAATTTTCTCTGTCTTCAAGTTGCCCACACCCCTATGTGGTATTCATTATTAAGATAGTAGAACTCTTTAACATAGCAACTGCAAATATCGCCCATGCTTACATTTTCCCCTTTACTTTGAAAGCATCATGTAAATGCATAGGAATTCCAGATTATCTGTGTTAATAACTCATGCATGAGTCAGGGCTGGCATTTCCTGGAGTCATGACCCGCGGTAGCTGAAGCAGTGTTTGCTGTTCAAGGAAGCCATGGTGTGGCTCATCACTAGTGCCCTGGAGCCAGGAGCTGGCCCTTGCCCCATGCACATACCTCCTCCTTGTGTACCCCAACTTGTATCTGCTCTCTCAGAAGCTCTCTGGTATAGTACACATCCTTATGAAGAGTCTCCTTTTGAACACCACAACCCCTCTTTTACAAGGGGCATGGACTTACCAGATAGATAAGGGATATTTGAACGCATACCAAAGTATGGCTTTTGGTAGTGTTAGGAGTTTCACACTGAATAGCAGAGTCTTAATATTACAACAACAGTGCAACTAGTTTGTATTTTAAAAGTGCTTCTAACAAAGCCTCCAGGAAAATTCTTTGAACCTGCTCAGCTCTAATTACTAGACAGTTATGTTTTATCATTAGGCAAAGCGTGAAGCATTATAAATGCTATTGTAAGTTATTTATGTCTTACTCCTAAATATAACATTGAGCATCACTGGCTTTGTGCTGTGAAAGCTTTCAAGGGTTTGTGCTATTTACTGCAACTTTTAATTGATTTGCTGCTACTGTTTAGTGAAGCCATCTCCTGCCTCTGCACAAGGACCTTGTGATGCAGGCTATCAGGGGAGTTAAATTTGGTGCTGAAGCTTTATTGAAGTTTTTACAGCACTACATCTTAGCCTTGTGGGGAACAGTTCTGCAATTTATTGCTGTGTTTTTCACCAGGAAAGTAGAAAAAGAGATGGATGTTGGAATAACTTTATTTCCCAGCGTTGGCATAGATGTACTCAACCAATGGCATTGGCTTGGCTGGGATTTTACAGCACTTTTTAAAGTGATGCGTGGGAAATGAATGAATTGATCAAACCCACCCATTTCTTTACTGGGAATGAATGAGGAGCTTTTTCATGCAACTTTCACACAGAACAGATTAGGCTACTTCTATGCTTTGCAATGAATCTAGGTTAATTTCCCAGTATTATTTGGTTTTAGTATTTACTTCCAGTAGATTTTTCTGTAGATTCCAGCTTGCAAATGTTGTCTTGCAGCACAACCTAGTCCAAGGCTTTGGTTTCATAAGTCTTGCCCATTCTTTGGGACTGTTTTTCCCTGCTTCTTGCAGGGAATTGGGTTGTAGCTCCAAGGATTTTCAAGTGGTGCAAGACCGCATGGAGCAGCAACATTGACAAAGGAGACAAAAGGTTTTCTCCAGGTCAAGCTGCTCATGGGGCAAGCCTGGACTTTGCCAAATGGGCAGCAGTTCCTTTCACTTGTTGGCAGTTACTGATGTGATATGATATTATGTTTTAATATTTGGAGAGACTTTCCAATTAGATGGTCCAGTAGCTGGAATTCCCTGAGGGGAATCATCCTGGATCAAAATGTGTATGGAAGACAAGGAGTTCTTAAAATCTCCTCCTAATTCCCAGAAGTTGCTCGACAGAAGATTATCAACCATTCTAGATATTAATGATACTTTGAGTGTGAGAAGCCTGTGCCACGGGGGGAAAAGTGGGAAGGTATGGGGATTATCAATGCCATGTATTACACCCAAATAGAGGTGGCAGCTGAAAAGCCTGTGTTCCAGCACATGCAGTCTGGACAGCCTAGGGAACAGCAGAAGGCAGGGGAAAGTAGCCCACTGCCTCTATGTATTTATACCCTCCTATTTAAGAGATTTTTAAAGTTATGTGCTAGGAACTTGTTTTTTTGTAAATGATACCTGTCTTTACTTATCGCAAGGCCTTTTCTGGTTGGAAGAAAATGAGATTTTACTTCACTGAAATGTTTTTAGCTCTTTCTCTCTGCAGAAGTGGCATATCCTTTTGTTCATTGACATTGCTGTGATTGAGATGATAATGCATACCTTTGCTTGTAGAAGTATTATTCTGGATGTAGTAAAACCACCAAGGATTAGAGAGTAATGTTACAAAACCATATATTGATAAGAATACTTAAACCCTGCAGCATCTTTCAGATGTTGTGAACCACATGCAGTATCAATAACATCTTGTTTTAAGAGAGGAAGAACATACTTGTGAAGAATATTACAATAAATAAAAAATGGAAAATGAAAAAAAATAACACTAGTTTTTTCACTGTATACACTGGAAAAATATTTTTCCTTTCTTATTTTTTCAGGACTTAGTATAAAAAGGGGAAAAGGTGCTTTACTTACGTAATTAATTGAAAAATAGAATGACAGAGATTAGGCAACTATTTCCTAGAAAAAAGATAGAAGATTATTAGGACACTGACATTTTTGTAATTCTGTAAATGAGTATGTAATGTATCTTTTCATAAAAACAGGTATTAATATATGCATTTCTATATGTCCTGTTTTTTAATGAGTGTTACTGTAACAGATTGAAGATGGAGTTCGCAAGGAACACAAATTGGAGGAGAAACCCATAGGGCTTTTTGCTTCAAGTGCCATGTTTAGTGCAAAATTCCCTGAATTTCCCTTTCCCTTGTATGTTCATTTCTGCTGCCTCTCCCCCTCACCCCCCTTTATTTCCTGTGCAGATTTGATTAGTTTGTCTGGCCTGGTGGCTGAAGTGTCCATATGAAGCCCCTAAAGAACCTGTCCAGTCCACCTGTGCAAAATCCTTGACTCCTCAGTGCCAAACTGTCCAGGCTTTTTTTTTGTTGTTGTTGTTGTTCTTTAATGTATAAAAAAGATACTGACTCTGTCTCCAAGAATACGTAAACCCCAAATACTTAAGAGCTTCTTTGCCAAGAAAGAGTTCTCAACATCAGGATTTTTTAAAACATAACAAGTTTATTTTCAAGGTTAGTGGTTATTTTTCAGGACTTCCCCCCCCCCCCCCCCCTGCATTCTGGAAGGAGCTACATAGGTTACAAAAGGTAGTTCAATTGGGAACATCAAATTGACCACAAAATGCTGGATGTTAGCATTTTCTGAACACTTTTTGCTGACACAGCTCATCAGTCCTGGAAGGAAAATGAACAGAATCTGATTAGGGGACTTGCACTAGTGCAGCAGCAACTGGCTTGGTGAGGAAGAGACGACTACACTTTCCATCTGCTTTCTTCTAGAGGTGATGCTAGAAGAGCTGCAGAGGGTTTTTAATGTTCTCCATGCCCTACAGATGCCTTTGTGCTGTACATGGCAGCCATTTCCACTAAACTGGTGGCTTCCTTGGTGTCTCATTGCATAAGTAATAAAGTAACTGATGATGGTTTACATAAAGGTAATAAGCCATTGTTAACAGCCACGAACTAACAGCAGGTTTTTAATGGATTTTTTTTTTTTAAATAACTTTGTGGTGTGACTGCAGCTGGTTTTGAAAATCTGTTTACTGAATGGATATAGAACCCTGTAGACAGACCACAGAATTTGGAGTAATGTAAAACTGGAGAAGATTTTATATCTAAAGGAATTGATGTGTATAGTATCTTTGGTGATTTTGTTACGCTATTTTCCCACCTGTGAAACATAAAGTATGTCTACAAAATCTACTTATGTTTGTTCTTTTTATTACAGAGTCTTTAATATAAGGATAATTTGCTTGTGCAACTGACAGATAGGATTGTATATAACTGGGTAATGTAGGTACAGCATACTGGAGTTCAGGTCCATTCCATCAAGCAGTAATTCTGGAACAAGTAATGTATCTTGGAGAACACTGAAATGATATGGTGTTACTGCTTCTTAAAAGCTTTTAAGTACAAACTTAATTATTAGGATACCTTTGAAGTTCCTGCAGAATCCTCTAATAAATTTTATGACAGAATTTAATGTTGTCATTTATCAGGAAAAAAAAAGGTGCTTTTAAAAAAATGATATACTATAGCGTAAAGTAATTTTTCTTAGGTCTTTCATGTTTTATATTACAAGACTAAAACACTCATATTACTGCATTATGTTTCATGGCTATGAAAACAGGAAACTAGACATAGCTCTTTTTTCTTAGTTTGCTCACGTGGCTGTGTATAAAGATCAAGGATAATTTCCCTGCTTATTAGATAAAAGTGTGTGTGTAGGTCTAATAACATCGGACATTGTTTAAAACATCAAGGTTCAAGTAAAGAAGTGCTTGTAGTCAAGTTCTCCTCTCCTTCACCTTTTCTCCTCAATCTGCTGTGTTCAGAAAACCATCAGCTATGTAGGAGGTGTAGGTAAGGTCTAGCCCCTAGAGCCCTGAGGAAAACAGTAATGCCTCTGTCATGTAGCAGGATGCTCTGGCTTGATAAGGCTTATCTGCCTTGGCCCAGACTCTGACCAGAGAGTTCAAACAATGCAAGTTGTCTGTGGTGAGCCACCGGAGGGGCCAAGGTGCTGCTTTTAGAGTTGAATTATGCTAAAACCAGCCCAGCTGACCAACTGCAAACACACATCCTGCTTTCTGAAGTAAGAATCATAGAATCAACCGGGTTAGAAAAGACCTCTGAGATCGAGTCCAACCCTTGATTTGACAGATATCAAAACCAAACACAAGATCTGACAGATAAACTTCTAGCTGACCTGGAGATGAGTGACTGGCAGTCAATCACTTTATAAAAGCGCAGTCCAACTTTCCTATGGCAGATGGCACGTACCTTCTTGGAGCATGTGGAGCTTCTCCTGTGAAGCAGGTATGCCTCATCATGGTTGCTCCCCAGGGGTTAAGTGGAAGAGAGGGTGCCCACGACCTTAGTGTGGTGAGTAACATCAGTCTCTACTTACTAATAGTTTCTTTTTGCTAGGTTTGATATAATTGCTTTGATACAGTGCACTATACTATCATATGCTATACCATACTCTACTAGTAGTTTTTAGCTTCTTTACATTAATATTTTTTAAGTCTGACTAAGATCTTTTGTGTGCTCATTTGTCATAATAAATAATTAGTTTTATATAAATGTATCTAATTTGCCGCCATTAAAACCTGCGGGACAAAGTGCTTCAATCACAGCTCTATAATTCCTTAAATTTAAAGTGTAGACAAAATCTGAGGCTAAGAAAGGATTTGACTTCACCTAGGCTCCTTTCTGAGGAATTTTAAAACACAAGAGAATCCTTTCTGCACCTCATGACTCAGTGGGAGGGCTTCTCTAAGATATGTTGTCTAAACCTTCCACCTACTCCCCCAACACCTCACCCTTCTCTTTAATTAGGGTGGAAAGGTAAGCTTACATCTAAGGAGCATGCCTATCCCTGAAGCCTGTGTTGATGACAGCTGGTTAAAGACAAAAATCTCTTGTAAGCTGGGAGCTTTCTAGGCATTTGTGGAGTTAGCGCGATCCTCATAGTACTCAACTGTTTAATGAACAGATGGATAGAAAGGTGCTGCTCAATTTAAAATGTCATTGCACACTGCCAAAGGTAATAAAGGACTGTGTTACTCTGCCTTAAATGCACAGCTCAAAGAAACAAGAAGACATTTGGAGTGCCCAGCCACTGGCATGTATGTTACTTGCTCATCGACTCGTTTACCAAACTCTTTTTGGAAACCTAGACCCAAGATTTTAAATCACACTTGGATAGTTATTTATTGCCTACAGTTGAACTGGAACATATGGTGAGGTGTTCACAGAACACTGCAATTCCCATTATTATTCTTTCAAGATCAGTAGTCTGTGAGGAAAATGTTATTTGAGCTGCAAATCCACTTATAGAATAGAATAGCTCCAGTTGGAAGGGACCCACAACAATCATATTCCAACAGCATGGGTGATGTGAGGATGATTTTTTCTCACTTGTCTTTTGAATGTCAGATCCCTTTCTTTAAGTAGCAGTGAGGGGACTGGCTGAACTGGGAAAAGCAAGCTGTTGGCTCTGGAGGCTCGTTTCTTCCTCTGTTTGCAAATCCAACTTCTGAAACTTGGGAAACTAGTTTGAAGAATGGAAAAGATTAGTTTAAACAGCTTAAACCATCTTTTCTCGTTTTTACTCCCATTTCAGTAGGCAACGCATTAGTCCATAGATTAATCTGTCCACAAGATGTTAAGTTGTAGAGCAAAATCATAGGATCATTAAGGTTGGAAAAGATCATCAAGTCCAATCATTAACCCAAAACTGCCAAGTCCAGCACTAAATATAGTTCTTTGATACACAGAAAAGCTGTCCGAGATCACTCCAGATGCCCACAGACACCTGTCTCAACCCCCAGAAGGGTTTAATGGTGTTGATTTGGCAGAGGAAAAATTGGGGTGCAGGAACAGAATTGTCTGGGTTTGCATGCTATCTTTAACTCAGGGGTACAGCACTTGAATTGTTTTACTGTCTGGATTTTGCAGGCAAATAGAGGGATGTTGTATTTTCAAAACAGTGAACTTAAATAAAGAAATAAACCCACAGAATTTCAGAACCATTTTTTCTATGAGTTTAATAAAGAAAAGTTGGCATTATTTATACAGAAGGTGTAGAAACCCCAGTCTAAAATCCAAAGGAAACAACAACCTGCAGTGTCTGAGCTGAAAACAATTCTTGGCCAGGTCAGTTAAACAGCTTGTTTAGAGATTACTGTAAGATACATGACTCTGCCAGGGCTTTGTCATCTGCTGCTGCCACTCTCTCCTATGAGATGGAGAGCCTACAGTGCTCTCTGCAAGTAATGTCACAATGTTCCTCCTGAGGTACAGAGCAACAAAAACTGTGCTTAGTGTCAGCATTTCACAGGATTTCTATGGGGTTGGTTGTTTGGTTTGTTTTTTTTTTCCGCCTAACAAGTTTCTCATTAGCCAGTGGAAGAGAAAGGATAATTTTCAGGGCAGTGAAGGAAGGCTGAGGCCTGCATCTACTGAATGTAAAACACGGATACGGACAACTACCCCATCTGGCAGTGCTGCTCTCTCCTTCTCCTGTGAGTAGGTTTGCCACCTTGACTTCCTTGCGTGCCTCTTAGTCATCCTAAGATGGATGCATTTCTAACAGTCTCCTCTATTTTTTCATGTTTTATCTTCTTTATTCCTTTTCCTCCTTTATTCTTGGAGTGAAATGAAAAGTTCCCATTTCAAGTGGACTTTGGAGGAATTGTACACTAAGATTGGCAACAGTGAGGGTGTTCAAGGAAAGATTGAGAAAGTGGAAAGAGAGTGTTGGCCAGAAAAAGAGAAGAGAAAATGCCCCCAGATGGGTGGAAACTGTGGATTTTGGTGTGAAGTGAATGAATACCTGCATGGGGGAGAAGTATTTTCTTCCTCTTATAGTGGAATGGACTAGAAGCTGGATAAGTAGTTGCCATTGTAGGGAGGCAGGCATTGTAAATATTTTAATTTTTGTTGGTTTTCGGGGTTTTTTTTGGTTGTTTGTAGATATATATCACAAATATGCAAATGACACCTTAGCAACTCTAAGGTGTTTTGAAGATACACCTTATCCTTTCAATAAACAGTATAAAGTGAGAAACTGCAAGATGTTGGTAGATCTCCATGCACAGCCCAGGGTGTATGAAGAACAGAGGGGTTTTTCATGCTTGTGTTCTTTTATTCAGTGGCCTCTCTGCAGTTGGGAAAACAGACACAACAGGCAAAAGTACAGCTGGCACAAAGCACAATAAATGACTAATTTTCACTCAGCAAAGTTCTCTAAATGCTCCTACGTGCCAGACTCTGTGGAGCCATTTCTAAGATCTCAAAAGGAAGATTAAAACCATCTCAAATACACAGAATTGACAGGAAAGTAAACTTTTCAATGGAAGGGACACAAGAAGCCAGATGGTGAGTGTTGCACACAGCCAAACAAATCCAGTCTCTGAATTCCTCAGGCATATAAACCTCTGTAGAGAAATTAAATTTCTCTGAAAGTGAACTATGCAAATTCACATTCTGTCATAATTCTGTCATGCAGAACAAAGATCTTGTAGCTTCCCAAAGTTGTCCTTTCCTTACCCTTCTGAAAACATGTTCAAAAGCGTAAAATAAGCAGCATTTTTCACTGAAGCAAGGAAGGAGACAAAACAATTACAGGTAGCAGAGGGCAACCAGTCAGTAGGTAAATGAGCTCCTTTTGTCGTTTTTTTGCAATAGTTCTGTATTCACGCAAACCTTTCTTTTGTACTGTTCTGATAATGCAGCCAGCTGTTAAAATGCTGATGTGATGGATGGTCTGCAGCTTCAATTCACAGAATTTCAAATATGTTTCTACATGCCTAAGAAGAAATTGATTGAGGTGTGTTAATACACACGTTATTTAAATTCCTTGACCAGTGAGCAGCAGTAATAAAGTTTAATATGATGCTGGCTTGCATAAAGCAGGCTGTAAGTCTAGGACTGTTATGCTGTCACTTTGTAGAACTCACTTTGTCTTCATCTGTCATTTATTGCCCAACTTAGTTCACTCTATTTTGAAGAAAGTTGTACTAAAATTGTAGCGCTTGTGTCCTACAAAGCTTCTACCTGACAAACAGAGTGGAAAGAAAAGGATTGTGCAAGTTTAGAGGGCTGTGAAGAAACCATCTCTAGGGACATAATTGACATAAAGGTAAGGGATTATTATATTAAGGTGTTGTATTTAAAAATTAGTTGTTACATTTTGATTTTAGCTCAGCACCTTAGGACCCTGTGTGAGGGTCTTTTCTATGCATGGTATGACACGCTGAGAGGATTAGTGAAGCAGAGTGCAAGTCAAGAGAATGAATTAGCTGTAAGTGATTGGAGTTGTGATCGTATGTGGCAGAAGTGCCAATTATCTTTATCAGCTTCCCAGTCCATATATTAAAGTTAATTTTCCAAACTTCAATTAGAATTGTCTATAACAGAAAAAGTAGCAATTTTTTTTCTGGACAAAACAGAACAAGCTGGTAGATTTAAGATCCGGGAATAGAAGCAAGTGAAAATTCTTCACTTTATGGGAGACTGTGGACTTAAATTATTGAAAGTAATGAAACCAGTTTGCCTGTTCATCCTTAGAAATGGCAGCATGGGACATTTTCTGCCTTCTAAAGAAGAATTTAGAAATCATAGAAGAATGAGGGAGATGAGAGTGTAGTCGCATGCTTTTAATTAGACTTAAACTTTGTCTGGGCTTAGATATGTGTTGAGGTATTTTCCGGTGTCTGTAGTTTTCTTCATGGTCAGTTGAGTAGAGCTTTGCAAAGTCACTCATTTGACCAAGCCATAAATGAACAGTCAAGAAAAACTGCAGAGGAATGAGGGAAAGGGTTTCTGAGAAAAAATGAAGACAAGTTATGACACTTGCTTTTTTCCTTGGCTTGAGAGAAAAAAAGCTTGTCACTGCTTTATATTATGTAGTTCCAACCCTCCTGCTATGGGCAGGGACACTTTCCACTAGATCAGCTCACTCATTCAACCTAGCCTCAAATACTTCCAGCAATGGGGCATGTGAAGGACTGGAGAAAATGATTACTGGCTCAAAATAACTAAAGTGTGAGTGTGTGTGTGATGGGAGGAGGCAGGTGAAGTTCAGCGTAGGTGGGACGGTGCAGTGCTCCACACCCTCCACCCCTGGAGCCTCTAGTCCAGCCCCAGAAGGGCTAATAGCCACTGGCACACTGAAAGCCCCACCTGGGGGCAGGGCCCTGAGAGACCAGAACAGATAAAAGCAATTGCACTGGTTATGGCCCACTGTTTGGATTTTACAGTAGCTGAGATAGCACTGGAATTCAAGTGGTGATTATCAGTCTTTCTTTGTCCCCTTTCTTTCCCTCTCTCTCTCCCTCCCTTCTCCTAATTTTCTCAAAATCTGCACAACTCAAAGTTGGATGGATTAGAGTTTGCTGTCAGTGCCTTTTGAAATTTTTTTTTTTTTTTTTTTTGGTGTTGCTTTAAAATTTTCCA